ACTTTCTTGTATTACTAGTTTCTCTTTTCTTGTTGTTTCATCTTAGATTTCTTACTCTAGTATAATTTTAACTTTATCAATTCTTTTTGTTATTATTACTTTCTCTATTACTTTCTTCTATTTTCTAGCTACTATTACTATATTACTATTTATTTCTAATATTTCTACAATCATCCTATCTATATAATCTTTTAAATTTATTACTACTTTGCTTCTCTCTGCTATTATTTCTTTATCATACTCTTTAATCACTTTTCTAACTAATCTTATACTTTTTCTCTATTCTATATATTTTTTTATTTTATATAATACTTATCTGATTTATCTATTTTATTCTACTCTGTAAATTTTCTGAATTTCTTATTATATTATTTTGTAAACCTTCAGAAGTTGTTTAGTTTTAGTTTGATATCTAGAGGTTCAGTGATCTTAGTGTAGTGGTTAGGTTGTTGGACCGCTATGTAAGAGGTCTGAGGTTCAAATTCCACTGTCGACGAATTTGAATAATTACTCAGACCTTTGTATCCAACTTACAGTAAACTCTGTTCATTTCTGGGGTTGTAACTCTGTAGTTATGTTGTACCAATATTAATCAGATATTAGAAATGTAATGGTATATGAATAAATCTTGATAGAATCTACAAGCAGGAAATCTGCATGGTAGAAATCCCAAGTTAGATGATATAGTACAGATTTTAACAGTCACGCTAGCTTAATGCTTGATCTGGAGGAAGTTTAAGAATGAAGAATGCATACTGAGTAGGTGTGAGTAAGTCCATAATGTAACAAAAAAGTTAAACATAATGTAATGTTACATGAATAGCAACACCAACTTGGCTTAGTAGCTAACTGGATTTGGGAGGATCTATCTTGTGAAACATTCAGAAGAACTAGACCAATTTGGTGGAGAGCTACGGAAGGAACTGGGTTTGTACAAACACTGGTAAGGGTATATGCTGGCTTAATTGGGATATAGCATAGCATAGTTGGAGTAATCTGCAAACCCTCACTGGAATAGGATGCAGATGGGTACCTTGTGATAGAGCCTAGTCCTATGAAGTCAATTTGAGACGCAAGTTGGTCTGAGTGGTCCTCAAATAAGGTAGCACAAGATTAGCATAGATAAATAAACATTAGGTTAAAAATAGAGTTTCACTATAATGCCAGAAGGTTTAAATAGAGTATCTACAGGCAGATACTAGGTATAGCAATTAGTAGGTAACCTATATGGCAGAACCTGTAAATAGACAATAACTAAAGTTGTACATGTAGCCAATTGTATCCTCACTAACAAAATGTAACTTAAAAATAATACTTAATAAAAATCTGCAGACAGCTTGTTGAAAAATAAAATAAAAAAAAAAAAAAAAAAAAAAGTTTGATATCTATTCTCTTATCTATATTATCATATGATTAAAATCAATCTAAATTTTTATTTTTGTTTATCTAATTTATATATTGTTATTAATTTTGTTGTTATCCTAATATGTATTCCGTTCTGCTTTAGTTACTTTTCTAATTTAATAGTTTGTTGTTCAATCTGTATATAATAATCTACTAAAAATTTTAGAAGTTTTTTAATTTTTACTTTTTGACAAAATAATATTTTTGAAAGTTAACTAAAGCTATTTTCTTGCTATAGTACTAAGATTTATCTTCTTGAAGAACTACTTTATTATTATTATATATATTTCTTTGTTATGAATCTTTTTCTTTAAACTATCTTGTTATATTTTTTAGTCAAATTAAAGAGTTTTCTATATAATTTCTTTTTGCTCTAATTTTAGTTCAAATGATCTATAATGAAAGTTTATATATATAGATTTTTATTAACTTATTTCTATATAGTTAGTTGTATACTTATTATATAATTACAAATAGTAAAAGATATTTTTGTAATATTTTACAAACCAAATTAATAAATCTCAATTAGCTAAAAACGTCTTAATATAAAAAAAAAAAATTAAATAAAAAATAAAAACATATTATATAGTTTAAATTTAAATTAAAATAAGATAATTTAATATAAACTAGTAATAGTCTTTAATTAAAAAAAAAAAAAATAACTACTATAATAAATCATATTTAGATATCAAGAAATAGCCAAGTAAGTTCGAACCTAGTATAAGAAAATAGTTTAGAATAGTTTACTTTTTTTTTTATTATAATAGAAGTTATTTAAGTTTACAAATATATTACAAAATAAAATCATCTAAATACAAAAAAAATATAAAAAATAATAAAACAATTTAAAAATTATAATTATTAAAAATAAATTTAAGATTTATTAATGAAATATTATATTTGTAACACCTATATTATATAACACCTTATATATAATAATTATGTAAACTAGATTAGAGTAAAAGGTGTATTATATATTTAATAGTATGGTGTTATATAACATGGTGTTATGAATATAATTTTCCTTTATTAAATAACCTTTAAATAAAATCAATTATAAAAGATTTCACAATATTAAAAAATTTACAATTTTTTATATTTTTTATTATTATTGTCTAGTTAAACAAATCTTTTTATCCTCAATCCTTTTGGGTTGAAATTAAAAAATTTTATCGGCATTCCTAATTTCGCAACGAATCAAGAAAATAATTATCAAAACAATAAAAAACAATCATAAATTTTTTCTTTCTAAATGTCTATAAAGACAATGATCCGATTTTTACCCAAATATATAAAAATACAATTTGATTCTTGTTTTTACATAGGAAATCGCAAATAAACTTACAGCAATAGCATAAGTGATATTAGCTGATTTTTAGAGATTGATGCTTACTAATATACAATGCCACAGACTACTTAAATCTGAATAGTCAAAGCCATAATTGCAATCCTATGATGTCGGAAACCACTAATCCTAAAAAAATAAGCAAACTACAAAACAATCAAATTACATACATTAATCATCGCTTTATATTAATAGACCATTAACAACGTGAACTAGAAGGGATATGTTTTTCAAATTAGGGCTTTGGGGATCTTGAGCGGCGACCTGATAATAATACTGCTCTAGTCGTTGTTTCACCATCGGTAAAAGCCTTTCACAATGCTCTCGGATTATGTGATCCTAAAAACAAATCCTCACATTAAAATCTAAAGAAATATAAATTGAATTGAGAATAATTAAGTTATATTAATTTCATACCTTTGGATTAAGTTTAATAACTGCCTCTTCTATCCATGCAAGTTTTAGTTCAGAATATTTATTTAATTCCAAGGAAAGATGATGAATGAGCGAAAGAATGACAGGCTGTGAAAGTAAAGGTCTCGCAGGCGGAAATACTGTCTTTGGGCTAACATTACTACAGAGACGCAGAATTAAAGGTAGTTCATGTGATGCAAGGACCTAAAAAAAAAAAAAGAATTTAGATCGAAGGAAATTTAATAATTCTATCATGAGAATAAATTTAATGCTAACCGCTACAAATGCATCCTCATAATTATGAGCTTCCAATGCCCTATCAATAGCAGAATTATTCGAATCTTCAAGACCAGATGTCTCTACAGGAGAAAATAGCTGCTGCTGTTGTTGCTGCTGATGTTGCTGTTGCTGCTGATGTTGCTGTTGCTGCTGATGTTGCTGTTGTTGTTGTTGCTGATGTTGATGCTGTTGATGTTGCTGTTGTTGAGAAGATGGCCTTCCGGATGAAGAAAAGCCATACGATTCTTGCTGGGTTACAGAAGGTGGTTGAGTTGTAGCACAGTTATGTGGAATCAAAATGCGTTTCAATTCACCCGAAAGTGACCGAGCTAAGTGATGTTGTAATTCGTCAGATGTACGAGTTACTGGTTGCTCAACATGCCTTGTGAGATTTGATTGTGGATTAGCTTGTAGGTGTAGTTGCTGAAGTTGCTGTACGGATAAAGTTAGATGCTCCAAAGAAGTCTGCAAACGTGCCAAAGCATTCTGATCTCCAACACTTCCCATATTAGAATACGAGGAAACTTGTGCACTCTTGTGAGCAATGTCTTGTAGACCAGCCTCGAAAGTAGCAGTTATTTGTTCAAACATTGCGTTTGTAGCTTTTTGATATGACGGAATGAGTACAGTTGTAAAATTTTCCCTGAACGTTTCCTCAATAACAGGTCTGATAGCCTTAGAGACCCCTTTAGCAATTGAGTCTATGACTGGAGTTTTTGCAAGAACACGCTGTACATTGTCTGCTACAGATTTTTCGATAGCAGCTGGAATATTCTAAATTATTGAAAATGTAAATAGTGAGTTGTTTGAATATTTAATAGGTAACAGTATTATTTATTATTATTTTAGAACCTTATTCACGGCATCGACCATCCCTCTGTGTGCATGCTTGTCAACAGCGTTAGTTACCATCTTGCTTAATGTCGGTAAAACTGAATTCTGAACTTCATTGCGAATCGTTGATTCCAATAGTTTAGCTGTATTTGTGCTGAGTGTCTGAGAAACGATTTTAAGAATTGTTTCTTGTCGTGAAGTTTCCGCAGCTTGATGAGCTATACGTTCTTCTTCAATTTTTTGAACTATTTCAGAATGATTGAATTATGTGATTAATTGAGTTAATTTGTTAATTTAATTCGAAAATAATAATAATAATAATAAAAAGTACATTGTTTTTCTAATTCTTTTGAAAACATCTTTCCAAGCTTATTAGTAACGTTGTCCTCCGTTTTTTTTATTTCCTTCAATATTGTCTGCATTTGAGCGGGTGATATTCCAGCAACAGAGGCTGCCATTGAAGACTGTCCAATTGTAGGTGGGACTTCTGGAGATCCAGATATATCACCAGGAGTTTGCTTGATTATTGAATAAGATTTTCCACCGGATATCTTGATATTCGTACCATCTTGAAGTATCTCTGTCGCTTTCCTGTTTTTCTCACCACCTGCATTGGATTTTCCATTTTTTGGAATTCCTTCGGCTGACTTTTTGCCAGCCGATTTATTCATCACCTCTGAAGATTGAATAACGCTTTCGTTATCCTTTTCCTTTTCAAATCCTCGGCGCGATTCTTTTCTTCTTGAAGCTTTTTCTGAATCTGAAGGCATATCGGTATTTTGAACTACTGAAGCAGTGCTCGTCGTGGCAATTGTTTTCTTTTTCTCTTTCAATTTGGCTATAGTACCATTGACAACCGGACCGGACAATTTAATATTTGTCATAACTTTTTTGATTTTCAGCACTTTTTACTTCATTCTCATCGGGTAAATACGAAGACTCCAATATATTTCTTTCTATTATTAAATTTTGCTTCCCAGTCGACATAGATTCGTCTGCCTCAGAAGTTACGGAAACTGCCTCAGGTCCATCACCTTCAGCAAAATATGAATTTTCAACAACTAATGTTTCTTTGTTAGTGTCCTTTTCAGCAATACTTTCTTCAACGTTAGGTTGTTGCGTGCCTTCAGAGTTTGACAAAATTTCAAGTGAATCTGAATAAATTGCACCTTGTTCTTTCTTGACATCATCCTCATCTT